AAATCAACAAAAAATATTAGCGACAAGTTCAAACTAATTCATGTTCTGATGCCTTTCTGATGTTGATATTTTCAAAAGGCACAGCCCTAAATGGCAAGGTAAAAATGCAACTTTGTGCTAGTCAGTGACAAGTCCATGGATTTGTGCCTTGTGCTATGAGTCACAGGTCTATGGTCAGGGACATGCTACTTGTGGAAGGGAATTGTACTTATTGTTCTTAATGTAATGTTCAACCACTCCTCCAATGTGGCCAAAAACTCTGTCCTGTCTCTATAATTTAAGTCTCAGCCACAGTGACCACTATACTCATCATTTTCTTTATACCATTCCTGATTCCATCTACCATCTAAGATAAAGTCTGTATGAGAGAGAGAAAAAACTGTAGTGGAATCATGCAGTCCCAGTGTGATTGATCATTGCTGTACTACATATTTCATTGTTGTTGTTGTTGTTATGTGCCATCAAGTCAGAACCAACTCACAGCTGAGTTTCCAGTGGGTTTTCAAAAACTGTAAATTAAACAGATGATTGCCTACTCTTCTCCCACGGAGCAATTGTTGGATTCTAACCACCTGCCTTTGACTGGCAGTGCAGATTCTTACTTATTAGGTCATAAGGGGGAAAAATAGGCATTATTGGGTTTCCAGGGAGTGCCAAAAGTTGCATTTCAATATCGAAGGTATGCGGTTCAAGTCCACCAGCTGTGAAAGAAAGAGGGGCGATCTCTTCCCATGTGATTAACTGCCTCTGAAAATCCACCAGAGGGTCAGCTATGGGTCAGTTACAACAACAATAACAACACTGGCTTTTCAGTCTTGTCCAGGTGCATACATCCCTTAAGCTTCAGAGGTGGGCTTGCTCAGTTGTTCTGCCCAGAAACTGTAGGGTGGGGGGTGCTCTTTTTCATGGACTGCTAGGAGAACAAACAGGTTCATCCTAGAGAGGGTGAAGCTGGGTTGCTCCTTGGAGGCAAGGATTCGGAAGCTTCTTCTGACATACTTTGGACATGTTGCACGGAGGGACTGGTCCTTGGAGAGGGATGACTTTTTCATCAGGTTCACACTTATTTGGATCTTCCCAAGTGACATACTATCAATCTTTTAAATAGAAAATAACCTTCAAAGACCTAGAGATGGAGCAAAGGGCAGATGTGCTTTTTGTCCTGGAGATAAGATAATGTCACCCTCCAGGGTGAGGGGCAGCATGTCACTCACTGCCCATTATAAAGACGCTGGCTCCCTGAGCTTAGGGCTCCTTGCTTGGCACACAGAACCGTGAGTGTGCAGCGTCACCTGCCCCACTGCAGGGCACTGGGATTTGTGGAACAAGTGCACATATTGATAGTTATTGCCCATCTTTCTCTTGAATAGCTGCTGGTGGATTTGAACCCCCATAGGCTCAGCATTTGAGCTAGTGTGCAATGCCCTAACAGACTATACCACCAGAGCTTCCGTGTTAGGGCAAAACAATAAAGGAAAAGAGAGGTGCTTTCTCTAAAAAAAAAAACAACAACAAAAAACCTAAAAAAACAACACCAAACAAACCAAAAAACCCTAAACAAATAAACTTTATGAGATCATGGATTCATATTTGGTCAAATGTAGAAATATAGATCTGTGGTGGCCTAGTAATAAATAGTTGCACCGTCAACCCAAAGGGAGGTGGTTCAAATTAACCACCCATTCAACAGAAAAAGGATGGGCAATCTCCTGCCAAGTAATAAACTTCCTCTGAAAACTCAATGGAGGGTTAGCTAGGAGTCGTTTCCAGCTTGGCAATACATAACAACATAAAAAAATATATAGTTGCACCGTCAACCCAAAGGGAGGTGGTTCAAATTAACCACCCATTCAACAGAAAAAGGATGGGCAATCTCCTGCCAAGTAATATACTTCCTCTGAAAACTCACTGGAGGGTTAGCTAGGAGTCGTTTCCAGCTTGGCAATACAAAACAACATAAAAAAATATATAGATAGATATATATAAATACACACATATACACATACATACACATATATATCACACAAACACACACATATCCATATACACCTATATAAAGATAGATAGATATATACATATATAGAGAGATAAACAAATGCATACAAACAGTTTTTCTTCATAGATTAAAGAATAAATTAGGTTTCTGTAGTTAAGTTATACAGTTAATAGATTTTAACATCTATTAAGATCTGAAATATCTTAATTTAAAATCTGTACTTTGTTCTACCTCTGAATAATGCACAGCATAAAATGGTACAAGCCATTTTCGCTTTAAATAGAATGGCTATGCTTTATTGTATTGTATGTAGTTTTATTACCCTAACCATCTTAAAAATACTATATATTTGGGTAGTGACACACTGCTATCCAATCTATATTCACTGTTTAAAACAAATAAAATGCCCTCAGTCTTATGAATACCAAATACATACATATGTATTCATTGCAACAACCTACTACAAAGCTATTGTTTATAAAACTTAAGCAAAAAATAATAATGCCTAAGATACCGTCCTTGAAAGCTATACAATCCAGACAATTTTCTTCTGCCAGAGGGTGATATCACGGCAAGAGAAAGAATTCCATTAAAAAGCCGATATATTCTGTGAAATGAACTTGATAGTAAAGAGATAAATAGAAAATTAAGACACCAAGGTGGAACAGGACTGCATAAGTCAGAACCTACTGATGTTCTTGAGAATTAAAAAGTATTTAAAGAGAAAGAAGATTAAAAACAAACCAAACAATCCAAAGCCTCTTATTTTCTGGAATCAAATGATTAAACACATATAAGTGTTCTTTGGGAAATTTTCAAAATTTATAATCTATTTCTGAAAACAAACAGATTTTAAATATTAGGGTTCTATCCTACTTGCTATGCTAAAGAAATGTCATATTGTACAGCAATTATTTTGAAATGTAAATAGCAAAAAAGGAAAACACTTTAAGAACATGTAGAATCTGCCCAAAATATAAACATATTTATACTTTAGGCTGGGCTCTATGAGGAGAATTGTGGCATCAGGA